ATAATCAGATAAACCTGATGGATTAGGGACTATGGCCTTTTCACAGAGGTGGGACTGTGGCTGATAATTTGGTTACAGATGGTGCAAGTAGAGGAAAATGAGTGTACAATAGGTATTTCTCTTTTCCCAAATACAACAATGCTAGCACAGGACATCCACAAGACAGACACAGAACACGCAACACAGAACACAGCATGCAACACAGAAAAGCATGGTGTTTCTGTTGTTGTTCAGCTGGTACCAGCTCTCCTGATGTTCTGTGATAAAAACCTGCAAAAATCTGAAGCATTTTAAAAACTGCAACTTTTAAACTTCAAGAACATAGGCCTCACAAGCACCGCAAAAGAGAGAAAAAACAAGCATTGGGTTATGGTAGGGTGGAGCAAGGAATTGGGGTGGTTCCTCCCACATGGTTAAGCTGCCTTCAGTGGGCCCACTTCCCATGCGGGCCTCAGTCACTTTGGAACACTATCACTCACCTGATGAAACCGCCCCTGGGGCCCATGAATCCACTCCCTTGGTGCCCAGAGAAGGAGGAGGAGGGGAAACTTTGTCAGGAGGGGGGGGGGGGGGGGGGGGTTTCATGCTGCGGTTCCCCCTGCTCTGTAGGCTGCAGAGGGGGTGGGGGGGGGGGGGCACTTCTCTTTATTCACAAAACAAAATACCAGACATCTGGAAGGGGGAGCAGGCATATCAGGGTTCACACATTCCCTACTCCATATCATCTTTTTTCTTTAATGTACCAAGAAGGGGGAGCAGGCACATTGGGTCCCCACATGCTCTCTACTTCATGGTACCCTTCTCTCTACTGTTTCAGGAAGGGGAGCAGGCATATCAGGGTCCCCACATGCTTTCTACTCCATGGTGCCCCTATCCTTTGCCTCAGACCACAATCTCGTCCAGCCCCATCTCACAATCCAACTCCTTGCACCTCAATCCGGTGCCCCAACTCACAACTACCTCCTTTCCCAAACTCCCTCCTATACTCCACACTCCCTCCTACACTCCCATCTGTTAGCCAAGCTTCCTTCTACACCTAATCTTCATCATAGACCCCCACATTCTTAGAATGACTCCCATAAAATCATTGCCCACCCATGCTCTATCACTAGTGTTCCCTTGTGGTGGTCTACCCACATTCTCCACCAATTAATGTTACCCCAAAATATTCTCACTGGAGACCACCCAGGGTTACACTAGTATGGGTTTATTTCCACTAGGTAAAACTAAAGAGGGGAGAATAGCCACCAAAGTGAACTAAAAGCAACCTGTCTATTAGGCAAAGCTGTAAGAGACTCATCAATTGCTGGCTGGTCTAGGTGCCAGTAGAGGGGGAGAGAGTGCCACTCCGAGCAGGCCTGGGTTCCAAGTGGGTAACCCCAACCCAGAATAGTGAATTATGAAAGGGAATAGAGGATCTCCTTAGTCACGTGTAAAGTCAGGTATTTGTATGAGGAAGACCCATTCTCAGAGCATCCACATGCACAAAACCTTGTTAGCACCAGCATTTGCCCAGCATGGATAACAAAGGTCATGAAACATGGCTGAAGTCTGCACTTGAACAAACACATACACCTCTTTTGCACCATTTATCTGGCTTTCTATAGCTCCTGCAGGCCCGTTTTCATCACACTTACGCTTTCTCAGTTGTGGGAGTTAAGGTCACTCTGAGTTTAGATTTAAAATAACCCTGGGGTGAATGGATTGCCGGCAAAAAAGGCGAGGAAACATACCAGAGTGTCCCTTACAATCTCCTTTGCACCTGGTCATGAGGTAGGCTGTGCATGACTCCGTTGCTCATAAAGGGTCAAAGTGGCAGGTCCAGATTAACCAATGTGCACTTGGTGCACTTGCACAGGGTCCCTGATCACCAGGGCAGGGGAGGGAGAAAGACACACAATATCAATTCGAGGCCAGGAATGGGAGGTGTGGGTCCTGGCTGCAGTGTTGCAAGAGCCTATGGGTCAGAGCCATACCAGTCCTGTAGGACAGGCTCTTCTACAACATACTCCCCACATCCCCTCGGGGCCTCCCTCACTCTGGGTTTAGGGACGGTGAAGGGAGCCCCAATTGCCATAGTGCAGCAGGCCCTGAAATTCTTTAATCTGGCCCTGCAGGCTGGGGAGTGTCATGGTTATGGGATAAGCTGCACCTCTGTTCTTTTTCTGGTGTCTCTAAGAGCAACCGACAAACTACACTGGAACCTCTGTACTCTGAGTGTCCTTAATTCGGGAACACCCATGATACAGAGACCCTGGCAGGCGGAGGCAGAAGTGGCTCTGCACGCTGTTCACACACACACACACACACACACACACACACACACACACACACACACACACGCTGGGGGAAATGGCAGCACAGTGACGAGCTCTTCCAGAGGCTTTCCCCCTCACTCCCATAGTGATGGGAGGCAGGGCCTGGGAGCTGCAGGGGACATGGAACAGCAGGAAAGTGCCCTACCCACACCCCCTTCCCTCCCTTGGCAAAATTTTTAATTCAGCAAACCCTGTTTCCCACAGTTTCTGGATTAAAGCAGTTCAAGTGTATTCATATCTCATTCTAAGGAGTCCAGTCGGCCTGGCCCTTGGTGGCAGAAAACCCTCATGCCAGAGCAGTGCCTCAAAAAGACAAACTGAACCATGCTACTCATTCCAAATATGCCACCGTATGCTCGTGTTACTAGTGTAATTACATGAGTGTTTATGCCGTGCTCGTAAAAGAAACAGTAAAAGATCTGTTTCAAACACAGCCAGCATCAGCAAATCATTTCAGGTCTGGCAAGTACCCTGGGCAAGGGAAGAATGTTTTCCCCTTAGGCCTAGGATGGAAAGATCCCGAGAGGGATTTTTTTTCCCTTCCCTTTGTAATGCTGCTTGGGAGTTAAGAGGGACTATCATCCGGGAACAGATTTCTGTTATTGCAACAAGCCTTGGATATTGTTCAAACATTGACTTTGTCATCACTACCATTTGGGCTCATATTAATTATGTGATCCAGCTTCCAT